GTGTACTCCAATTTGAATGTAAAGCTACACATTTATTTTATTTTTTACACAGTCAAAAAAACTGTCTGAAAGAAGTACGAAAGAAGTCTGACATTTGTAGTCTTTATTAGTGCCATTAGTGTCATTAGTTCCACGCATATGCCATTTACTGCTCATGCATTGAGACACTTCATGCTTGGCAATCTTAAAGCCTTTAATGCTCCATTTACTTAACATGAGTTGTGGTCATGTAAGATACAGTGTATTTTCTTTGTAAGAGTTTCCACTCAAGGTGTTATTTAATCTCAGTGAGCAGTATTTGTCTTGTGTCTTCTGCTTCATCTACTCCAACACACTCATCCTCTTTCTCGCTTCGTGTGGCTGGGTGTCTTTTTAAAGAAAAGCCCAAAGCTTTTGCCAACACCCGGACTTCTGCCTCTCAGTGCCAACCTCCGGTTCCAAAGACCTGTTACATTCACCAAGTTTGTTCAACCTCAACCATTTCAGGTCTTTACCAGCCTTCTGTCCAGCTACCAATCAAAACCAGTACATGCAAATATTAAGACATTATTCTGCAATCTGCTTTGTGCTAATCCCAGTGTTTAAATTTTTTTTTGATCCATATCAGTCAAGAGCAGCATGCAGTGCTGCTAAAGTTCAAGTTCCACTCAGTTTTCAAAAAATTATATATACATTTTAAATGTCAGGAGTAACTGAATGATGGTAAAAAAAAATGTAATAAATAAATAAAGTGTATATCCTATATACCAGCAATAGGTGAAGAAAGGTCCCCATTTAAAAAGAAAATTTAAAAAAGTGTTTTTTGTGAAAACAAAACTAAACAAAACAAAAAAACAAAAGAAAGCATAGTTGTACTCCTCCTTTTATTTTTCTGCTATTATATATCTAATTAACATGAAAAAAAAATCTAACACTAGCTTAATTTGTACAGTAAAATTATTTTATGTTGTCCCAAATCCAAGTGTGTTGCTGGAGACAAAAAAAAAGGTCAAAACTTCTGTTGCAGCTCTGAGATTTTAGATAATTCATTTATTTTGCTCTCAGATCAAATTAGGGCGAGTTCTGTTTTCTCAAAGCATCAAGTTTTATTTTTAATTGATATTTGGGATCACTGATTTTAAAAAAATCCCCATTGTCTCTGACTATAGGAGACAAACAGGTTTTAAACCGTGTCAGAGTCAATTCAGGTTAGAAAAAAGAACGATTTTCCACTCAAGTTTTGCTTTTCTTTTAAAGACAGCCATGCTGGTTCTCTTTACTTGGCTATGGTATTACCTTCTCAGACCTGCTCATCTCAGTGTCTCTGTGGGTTTTCTCTATTTGCAGAGACAGAAAGTTAATGGAGTCTTGCTGTCAACCACAGCAGTCACTGTTACTAAGGCAGGAAAAACTGCACTGCTTGATTGTCATAGCTTTAAACAATGTAAATATATATATAAAAAAAAAATACATTGAAATGACAGGATCTGAATCTGGACATCACATAATGATTTGGTGACCTGGTGTCTACTGAGTGTTTGCTAAATACTTCAGTGTGTCTGTGTTTGTCCATCCACACAGCTGTTTCCAGATCAGATAAATAAAACACAATAAGGGTGCAGACACCACTGTGAGTGTATGTGTGTGTGTGCAGCAGTGTGCCGATAAATGTACTACTCACTGGTGTTTGCGTGGGAGTACTTTACCTTTCGGACATTTAGCCAGTAGCCTATAATACAGTCTGTGGCCTGTGGATCTTTTTGTGTCCACTGCAGGTTGTAGGAGTAGTTGTTACCCTTCAGAATGCGCACAGGGTTGGGTGTATCAAAATAAAACTCAGAATTGTAGGGTTTTGCTGTAAGACAGGCAAAACAAATGGAAAAAAAGGGTGAATTAAAGAAATAGAATGGGAAATTTGTTTGGAACAAAACTAAGTGGAAGATGAATACAATCGTTTTTTTTTTTTTTTTTTTTATAAAAAAAAAAATGAAGGTTAAATTAACTTTTTTCTTACCAGAGACATTAAAAGTACATGACGACATCCCTGCGCTGTTGCTGACTCGGCATTCGTATGTCCCATTGTTGATGGGTTCTAGTTTGAACTTCAGCTCTGGCGTCTCCTTGAGGTCTGGCCTGGACATTTGGACAAAGTCACCGTTTCGTAACCAGCGGATGTCTATTAGACGAGAAGGGTTGGACCGCAGGACTGTACAGGTTAGGGTCAACATCTGATAGTTTCTGCAACGCACATCCTGAAAGACTGGGTCCAGGATAGGAGGGTCTGTGGAGACAATGACTAGCAATTTTAAACCCATGATCATTATGATCAGGACATGCAAATCCTAAAGTTTTTGTTTTTAGTTAAATAAAAGTGCATGACCATATCAAGGTGTAAGAGTCACATCTTTTAGAAATTGTCAAATTAATCTTGAACATGCGTACAAGACTGAATGGAATGCCATTGTAGTGCACAAAAAAACAGTATTTAACAAAACTAATTTATTTTTGTTTCCTTTCAGCTCTCTTTTTTTTTCTCAAACAATCAGAAAAGATGTGTTCTGACAAATCATCAAAGACAAAACAACTGCTAATGTCAAAAGAGATCAGGCATTACAAGGTACGGTCCTTTCCCTGCTGCTAACCTATTCTAACCGGTAGTTATTAACCTGTCAGAAGTGATGTGTGGCTCTGCAATTAATGACTGACTAGCCACGGATGCCCTGGGGTCAGCGAAGACACAACACAGCCAAATTACTCTGCCACAAATCACAGAGCGGTGCGTTCGCCTCCAGCTAATCATGTAGATAGACGAGACGCTAATAGTGTTACCGCCACGTGAACAGTGATGAGATCTGGTGTTAAGGCCCCCCAGAGGTGAGGCAACATGACTGTGTCCCCATATGAATCAAGTTTATCAGACACAGATGTGTAATTACACTCTAATCTAAGCTATGGGTGTAATTTAGACAAATACAGAACAAGCTACAGTATGGATGGGAAAAAAACACAAAGATAAGAAGCAGAAAAAAAACCGTCTTGTTTTATACAAGATGAACATGTTTTTCTTATCGACGTCACGTTTTGTCTGACTTCTTAAGCTTAATTAAACATTATATAATGTATATGTTAATACAAATTTAAACTGAGAATATAGTTTTATTGCACATTAAACCAATAATTAATTTTAAAATATGTTGTTTACATGTCTTCACGGTTTATTCGTTTCTGATTTTGCACAGATACACTTATGCATCATATCTGTACTCGTTAATGTTTTTTTATACATTCTTTTAAAATATTTTATTATTTTGTAGCGCAAGATTTTCTTTTATTGTTACATAATGAATTTCTTTGCTAATATTCTGAATTTTCAGGGGAAAAATAAACATTTAAATGGAGCATTTTTTGACGTATACTTGACAAACTATGTGTCATTAATAAAAGTGTATGTATCTATGATAAAGGCCTCAAAACTTATTTTTTTTATATAAAGAAGATGGTTGGTTAATTCAAGAAATTTAAATATATATATATATATATATATATATATATATATATATATATATATATGGTATTTGAATGTTCCTGTAGCTACACCTTTTGTTCTACTCATTTTATGAGCACTACATGTAATTTCTTTGTAAGAAAAAAAAACTTTATTTAGACCATGCTTTTTAAACTATATGATTATTCTAAAGAAAAATGTTTTGATCCAGAAAAACTGGTAAAGAAGTAAAGTTTATTTGACAATATAATCTGCTTACTTGCAAACAGCCTGAAATCAATCTTCAAAATACTGACGAAATATAAAAAAACTCTATCGCATTAATACAGTATTTTCTGTAAATATATATTAAATGTATATATTGTGACTAATATGTTGATGTCAAACTGTTAGTAAGTTGTTGTATAAATCTGGTAAACACAGACAAACCGTATTTCCTGTAACCCTTCAGTTTAGCATTCTGCTCTAGCACTTCAGGCCGAGGAACATGAGTCAGCACCTGAATGCTAAAAAGACTGGAAAGCACCACACCAGTTGTCTCACAGTTTCTGTGGTCCTCATTGCTTTTTGGTTCAAAATTGTATATTCTACTAGTTAGATAACCAGTTTAGACACATGCTGCCATTACTACCCTCATGCCTTCCTTAAACCATTACATATGTGCTTACAACAGCTGTATGTGGAAGAGGTGACTGATGTGTGAGAGGTTAAAGGTCTTAGTGTAATCCTATGGACTGATTAGTGTATGGTCACATACACTGCCCCTGCTCATGGACATATATTTGCATAACAGTGACTTAAAACAGGGTGGCACAGTGAATCAGTTGATAGAGCTGTTGCCTCTCAGCGAGAAAGTTGCTGGATCAAATCCCAGTCTGGGCATCTTTCTGAGTGGAGTTTGCATGTTCTCTCAGTGCATGCGTGGGTTTCCTCTGGGTACTCTGGTTTCCTCCCGCAGATCAAAAACATGCATGTTAGGCTGATTGGTAACTAAACTGTTCCTAGATATGAGTGTGCATCATTGTTTTCTTCTCATTTGGAGTTGTTGACACCACACTGCAATGTTTCACAGTCAAACCACCATGTCCCAGATAAAAAACACACCACTTGCATCTGTCTTAATGAATACAAAATCGATTTCATCCAGAATGCAACACTGGCCAAGCCAAACATACAGTAAAAATACATTTACATGAAACTGGGAGGAAGAAGGATGTGTGTGTTTGGTTTTGTAAAAGAAAGGTGAGAAAATATGTCCTAAAGAAGACAACAATGAAGAAGACAAATGACTGAGAAAGTGTGGTGCGAAAGTGAAAGAAGTCAGTGATTGAGTATGGGAGGTGGTGAGTGAAGGAGTGAATGCAGGAAGCAGAAAGAGAATGACAAGGCAGAGAGAGGGCTTCTCTCATGTCCAACAGTTAGCTGATTGATGATGATGAGAGCGGTAATGAGGAAGAACATCCTCCTGTATGAGATAAAACAAAGACTGAATGACAAAGAAACTATTGCAATGCAAAGAAAGAGGTGGGCGAGGCAAAAGCAAACGTCTACAGATTTCTTTAAATTTCCCTTATAAAATCACGACACTCTTTTCTTATACCAGTAAACACTGAGAAGAAAGGAGACACCTGATTAATGTAAAATGCGAAGGGGGACTAAAATTGGTAACAGAACAAGGAGATGAAGGATTTGTTTTTCTGCTTGTTTAAAGCTGTAGCCATAGAAACGTTCTCATTTGCATTTGTTTATAACTTGCCCATCACTTTCACTATTTAGGTTTGTGTCTAATCATGTACTTCCTCCTTCCACCACCCGTTGCATTTCAGGATCTCTCTGAACCCCATTTTTCTCTCTCAGTCCTGCTCATGTACGTATCTGTCTCTTTGCTGGGGTTTTTCTGTCCAAAGTGGGGTGACCACCTGCTCCATTAATCAGAGTTGGCTCAGTGGGGAGAGCAGTGCACACAGAGTGTTGGCCTTCCACCCCGCCACCATTAGCAAGCCAACTAAAGACTTCTTACAGAAGAGAGGAGAGGAGAGAAAGCAGTGTTTGTGCCTGCATTTATCAGCTATGTCAGAGTAGGAAATTAGTTCCAGACGTTCGCATTTACATTTGGCATTGAGTTATTGAAAGGTATATAACTGGCTGATTCTGCACAGGACGTCGACTCGCTGTTTATTTGCAGAACAAATGCAATTTCATCATTTTGTTTTAAATGTTTCATGATTTTAACAAATAGGTAGAGTTGCTATGTAATATTTGATTGTCTGTCACCTTAAAACTGCACCCACCTGCAGAAATTACTTTAAACCTGTCACTGATATTCATTTGAAAGTAGAGATAGAAGAAGTTTTGCCGTGTTAAAAGTCAAAGTCAATCTGTGACCTCATGTTATGACGCCATCCGTACTTCCTGAATGAAATTGGCACCGACATCCTGTCTTGCTGTGAAAGTGAAACACAATAATTCATTCCCCATTTGTGATATGTTTTCATACAAATAATGATTGGAATAAATACATGCAGACATGTGAGTTTATGTTTAAACCGTTAGAGGTCAACAATTGTGTGACAACAATCAGGAAAAACAAGAAATGCAGATCAGTCTGGTCGGATATTGTTTAACTGTATGTTTTAGTTAAAAGCATGCTCATTTTTAGATATGTTCCATTTTATTTGCACAAGTTGATATGTTTATCTTTTTTGTATCAAAATTGCCATTCCATCCTTCCTCTTCCCATTTCAACTTGACCATGAAGGTTAAGAGATGGTATTTTTAGTTCCTGTGCTTCAGTGTTTTGTCCTGTTTATTTTTTCCTAATTTTTCCAGAAAGTTTTGTAGTTTGTTGTTTCATTGCCATCAGATTATCTCAGTATTTTCAGGTACAATAGTTATTTACCTGTTGTTGATCTGTTGCTTTTTTTTTTTTTTTTTTTACCAGGCTTTCTGTTGTGGCCAGCCTGCAGACCACTACAGATCATTGTCCAGCATTCATCTTCCAACCTGCCCACTCTCACTCATAGCTCATAGGATCGGCCCCATCCCTAGTTTTAGGCTGGATGGCCAACTTGCTACGCACAGAAACAGCCTGAGGACAACCAAGGCCAAAGTGGTTCAGAAAAAAGGGTTGTAAGCTCAATCATCCAGGTAGATAACAACATAAAAGGTTAAATCGTGTCATCTTAATGTTTCTCACTTAAAGAAACTGGTCCAGATGACACAGCTGAACCTTTTTTGTTGTTACCTACCTGGATGATTGAGCTTACAACCTTTTTTTTTTTTCCCCTGTCAAATCTCCCCTTCCAATGTTAATGAATTTCACGATTAAAAATAAACAGGAAAGAATATTATTAAACTCTATGACTTTGATGACCTCATGGTGAGGCTTAACCGGGTTTAAATTATTGCCATCAAACTGCAATGTCAGGTACTTTCAAAATGTGTAAGTCATGTTTTTAAGGTACATTTTTAATGCTGGCTGACATTTTTTGTTTGTTTTCAGAGTACAGTACTCAGCCTGTACTTACATTGCACGTTCAGTTGAACTTGTGCTTCTCTGCGTTTGATGTTGAGTCCGTTGTATGGAGCTGTCTGACACCGATACAACCCCATCATGTCCCTGCTAACGTTTTTTAGCCTCAAGCGGCCATCAGGTGTCTCCACCACAGGTGTCCCAGAAGGCATCAGCAGGTCCTTTTCTGTCCGTGACCACAGAATTGGAGGGCGAGGTTTACCATCAAGAACCAAGCACACCAGGTCAGCGTTCCCTCCCTCACGAACACTCACAATCTGACCTCCTGGTGGGACTGACAACACTGGAGGAGAAACTGTAGGAAGTAAAACAAAAAAACATTCATACAGAATGGTAAAGTAAAAGATCTACTAATATATATATATATATATATATATATATATATATACACTGCATATATATATTTATTTTTCTACCAACATATTGACCAAACTTACTGTACATCCAGACCAAAACTTGATTTTTGTTTGTTCTTTAATTTTACTATTCACTCAATAAACAATACAATTAACACATATTAGAGTAATTAAATTTTTGAACAAGAAATGTATGACTGGGAACTGTTTTGATGATTGATCTCACAAATTATTTTTTTAATCAGTCTAGGAAAACAAATCAATGCTTGTGCAATAAATAAAAAGGACGAGATCATTATTTTAAAAGTCGTAAAACTCACATGACTACCTTTGTAACTGCAGAGTCAAATCAAGAATAACTCAAACATGACAGAAAATAATTTTGTCACATTTGTAGTTAGATTTTCTGACAGAACTGCAGGAATAAACAGATAAAAGTGCATTGTAAATAATTTATTTATTCTGTGTGATGCCAAAAAGCAACAAAGAGACAAATTGTTGGTAAAATGGAGAAAATTCTTGCAACAGAGTTGATTGACAGACGGGCAAACTTCTGTTGTGATATAGAATGAAGAGGAAAACCTCACCACTGTTCTGAGAGATGTTGACATCCACTCGCATCTCTGGCACCCTGCTGCCAGGGAAGTTCACCACACAGCTGTAGGTCGCCAAGTCTCTGAACTTCATATCCACGATCTCTAAGCTACTTGTCCCGGGTGCCATGTCTGGGTCACTGCGCAGTAAAATCAGGCTGTCTGAGTTGAAGACCATTGCACCGTTTTTATACCAGGTGTAGTTGATTTTGTCTTGTGGGGTGGCATCAACGTGGCACGACAGCTTGAGGTCACGTCCCATTTGGATGGACTCACTGTCCTTGTTAGAGTCAGGTGTAATTTGGAAGGTCAGATTGCTCATTGCTGAATGTTGGATAAAGTGAAAAAAGAAGAAGATTAGTTAAATGAAAATATACAATAAATAAAAAAATAAAACATCTGATAAACTAAAAAAATCAACAAAACTAACATAAAACAGGTCTCATCAAAACTGCACATATACTTATATGTCCTGGTTATGAGTTCTTTTTCCAATATTAAAATATAGCCATGTATTAATAATGTGTAAATATGATTAATAGAATGTTTGCTGTGCACTACAATGCTTTTGTTGAGCAGGACATGAAAAAAATTGGTTTATTTTTATTAGGGATGCACAATATTGAATGTATGGTTGATATTGTGAACTGAAAATAATTTTATAAACACTAATTTTAAACACAACAGCCACTTACAAGCGTCCTAATATATCAGAGTTGCACCTTCAAGAAAAAAATAATAAAAAAATTCAACTTCCATCCTTAAAAAATGGCAGTGGCAGTGGAGATAGTTCTCGGTGGTGGGGGGGGGGGGGGTTGTATGCTTGAGAGAAGCGGAGCATGCTCTATTCTTACAAGAAGAAAGCTGTTGGTCAGGCTACTTTTTGTTGAGCAATAAAACAGTTATTGAATCAAGTGTTTACTTATGTAGATAAACTAGATATTTAACCACCTGTTAAAATACACCAGAATGCACAAAATGGCAACTACTTTATTCAAAATTTTGGAGAGTGTACATTAGACTTCCACATTGGATACAAATTGTGAATCCAAAGTTCCTACTCTTTTCCTAACTTACCTTAGCTGAGAGTCAAATATGTAACATAGGTTATTGTTAATTAGTTTTGTCTGCTAATTGGGGTGATATATCATATTTTCAGGATTATACGTCGCTCCGGAGTATAGGTCACATTAGTCAAAACATTTCTCATGAAGAGGGAAAAACATATATAGTCACTTCAGAGTATAAGTCACATTTATTTAGAAGTGTATGTGCAAAGTGCAAGAACAGACATTTTATCTGAAATAAGAATAACACACAGAACCAGGGGCGGACTTTCCATCGGGCGCTGAGACATTTCCCGGTGGCCTGACCCGCTCAGTGGTTTCCGAGGGACTAGACTAAAGGCTTGGTTCTGGTTGCGCTTTATTATTTTAAAAAAACATACCGCTCTTGACTGGTCTCACTCATGTCTTATTGAAGCTGCACTGTAGCGATGGGGAAAGACAGACACCTCCCCCTGCACCTTCCTTTCTATTTCTGAGTCTGTGTCTGTCAAGGCAGAGACACATAGGTTGCATGGACGCCCTGTGGACTTACGCTCCTGACAGTTACATGTTAGAGCGTGGAACGCGCACACAGAACATACCTGGGATCTGAACAGGCTTAATTAACAGAAGTTAGCAGTTAGCAGTTAGCAGAAGAGGAACAACATGTAGTGGTCAAAAGTGTAGAGGGTCCTCTCACAGATACAAATGGTAATGTTTACTCTTTGGTTCATGTCAGTATGAATGAACATTTAACGTGTCTGTTAAAAATTGCATCATGAATAGGGAAAAAAAACGTATATAAGTCACTTCGGACTATATGTCGCAGAACTGGCCAAACTATGAAAAAAGTGTGACAAAGTCCGGAAAATACGGTAGTGTATGAAGGTCTACAGCTGAGCACTGTAACATCTGTTGCACAAATACAAGCTCTGAATCTGCCACTTTCTTGTTTTAGTTTTGGTTGACACACTTGGGTCGAAGGTTAGGTTAGAGGTAGGGTTGTGACCATTTTTAAAAGTTTTCTGTTCACACAGAAATGCAGGGGTGACATTTCAAATATATGTTTTTTTAATAAAAAATCTTGGGTCTCCTAAAAACATCTAATTATTCTTGTAGAAGGAAGGCTGAAACTATGTAAAAAAAAAAAAAACTTCATCGTATTTACGAAATATCCCCATGTGGACGACCCCTGAGGAAGCAAAAATACAAACGAATGGTTTGAATTGGATGGAAAAGGAGCAAGACGGTTAACCGAAAATGTTAGATCAGGGTTTCAACATTGCATGTGAGGCAAAAGGAGGGGGTAGCATGGCAAAAAGGAACCAAAGGGAAAAAGGAAATTGGAGTCAAAAGAATGAGGGGGAAAAATAGGAAGAAGCAAATTGTGAAGGAGGGTGAGACAAAAGGAGCCCAATACGAAATAAAATAACAAGGGGATGAGGAGGTGGGGGATGGGGGGAAACAAAATCAAGGACAAAGAGTAACTCTCACACTGTCACATTTAATTTTCAGTTTCAAAGGCTGCGTTTTCCCAACTGATTTTCATGTTGAATACAAAACAGCTCTCTGTTTCCGCACTAACAAGAGAGACGGGCGGTGAGGAGGGGAGAGCAGCTCCATAACAAGATCCACGAGCTGAGCTAGAAGACACTGACCATCTGGTTCACATGAGCCCACAACTTCACGTGACCCGTGTGTGCAAGTGTGTATATGTAGGTGTGAGTCGCCGAGGGAAATATTTTGGGACATGAATATATTCAGTCATATTATATAGTCTTTATAAAGCAGACAAAAGAGAAAGTTTTTGTAATATAACTGATGGGGAAATATTTAAAGTCACCTGAAGTCATGGAAACACAACTACGTGGCTGGATTAATATTTATATGCACTCGTCTTCTTCCTGTCTGCAAACTTTCGTAGCAATGAAGGGCTTTTGATTGCATGTCTCACTCTGGGGTTGTTTCACCTATGCTGATGTTCATGCCCATTAAGCTAACAAGAGAAACCCATTCAGCGTACGTTCTCCACAGCATTAACTAACAGAAGAGATTGTCACTAATTGCTTCCACTCCAGTCTAACTAATTGGAGTGAATAAAGATGATTAAAGGGGCTAAAAATAGCCAGAGGGAAGGGAGAGTGTAAGGTTTCTGCTTCAGCGACAGGGAAATTACAAAAAGAGCAATACTTAACCCATCTATTCTGACAGGATTCACATCAGCTCACTGTAATGATGGATTAACTGCTTACACACTCAGACGTTCTCATTAATAGGGATGCAGAGCCCCAAATTACTGCCAGTAAATCGAGCTTGCAGTGACTGAACAGATTTTTTTTCGTTTTTATTTATTTTCATTGAAGAAAGTTGTTTCAGACTTTTTCCACTTTTAAAAATGTCCAATAAGAAACCTACAATGATGATACATATATAAGAGTTTATCTTACTGTTTTACATGTAGTATCTGTGAGTATTATGAAAATGTCATCAGTGGAGATTTATTTCATTTTTAGATGGTAATTTTTATTTTATTTATGACCCCTTACTTTATTAAATAACTCATAACAGCAACATCCCAGTTTGAGTTAGGACTAAAAATCTTGCACGTTCAGTAAATCTTTTGCTAGGCTGTCCAAAGCATCCACATACACAACCCCGGCTATGAACAAGCACACGTTACTTACTCCTGACAACTAGATTGACATTTTTGCGAGCAGGGTTGCCCACATTGTTGACAGCCGTGCAGTTGTAGAATCCTCCATCTGCCGGTGTGACAGCACGCAGAATCAACATGGCCCCCTTTACTTGGGCGCTGAGAGGAAGAGGTCCAGGGTAACGTGACCACGTCACATTGGGAGGTGGGTAGCCTGCAGTGACCTCACAGGTGATGAGCACATCCTGTCCTGGATCGACCACCACAGTATCGTTGACTGACAGTCGGATCATTGGGGGAGCTGTGGCGAAGAGACGCACAAGAAGTCAAAACGTGCTCACCATGGTCACACAGAAAACAAAAATAGTTGCTTCCGGATTCAAAATTTCACAAATTGGAAAATTGTGAATGGTCTTCGCATGGTGAAAATTTAGAGGGTTAATGTATGCACTTATGAAAAGACAAGGAGGGGATGTGTGGATGTAGTTTGAGAGGACATCGAGTTAAACAGCTCTCACTTGTAAACGAGTCTTCAAGGCTCAATGTGATGCATCTGTATAAATAAAGGTTGAATGTTAGATGGAGTGAGGACAGAGGATGCAGGGGACAAAGTGAGATGGAGGAGGATGACTCGCTGTGGCAACGCCTAAAGAGGGAACAACCGGAAGAACACGGCGAAGATTATAGAAAATTTACAAAGGAACAGAACACAGTTAAACCTGCCTGTAGGAGGTTGATGCAGTTTTGGTATGTTAAATAAAATCCCCTTTCAATATTTAGTTAAACATAAATTTGAAAACTAATTCACTTTATCTAAATCAAAATTCCATTTGCAAGATTTTATAATAGGTTTTTGCAAGTCTCGCCTCAGGGTGTGAATGGAGTGAAAGAAGCATGATGTTACCAAAAATGAGCTTGTGACCAGAATGTCACCTGGTTAAATCCCTTGAGTGGCTGCTCCATTTCTACTCTTTTAAACTGTAGAATAGAAAGATTTCTCCACTTGAGATCACCCCCCACCCCTATCATCAACTACAGTAATAATGGTAGCAGAGCAGGGCAGTCAAGACCCGGTTTCTCTTCAGAAGTGCCTTCACTGGCTGGAAGTTATTAATCTGTAGTTGAGAAGCTCACTGCGTGTACGTCTGCTGCTCAAATCCCTGTATTCCAACAAAGACAACTCAGAAAAGAGAAGGAAGATGATAGTTTTCAGTTTAACCTGATGGTTTCAGCATGTTCAACAAACTTAATGTCACATTTGCTTTTTTAATTATTATTTAAATAGCACACTTTTTAAAACACAAAGTCATCAACCGTGTGGACACTGATACAGTTTAAGCTTTTGTATTTTCAAAACGTCATAAGTTCATGGTTTAATTTAATGATTTTCACATTCAATAACTTTTCTGCATGAAGTCCAACTACAGTTACGTGTTTTACAAATGATTTCGCTGTAAATGCTTCGACTCAAACTACTACAAACTTGTGCTAGATCAGATTTATTAACTGTTGTGGCTAAAAGTTATTGTATGTCTATATTGCTGCCTGTCGTATGTTCTCTCTGCTTTTGAGGTAAATATGCAAAAAAAAAAGATGAGAAAGATGTGCATAATATTCTCAAAATACCAATACAAAATTAGTCCTATTAGTATAATAACTCGAGAAAACATCCTGAAAGAGGTGCAGCAGCTTCAGATTCAATGGGGTTAGTTTTTCTCCTCTACTTTGACCCTTACTCTAGAACTGAATGTTGCATTTCAAACACATTATTCAGCACTAAAACAAACAAATTCTTGTAATTTTATATTTTTACTTAATCTTATTTGTTGTTTAACATGCTATCATGGAAACCTGGTTTTACTATGCAGCTACATATTATTTAGAATAGAACTTTTATCAATGTGGTGAAGAAAGTGTGAAAAAAAAGAAAAAAAGAAACAAATAAAATAATAATTAAAAAAATATATATATATATAAATATATATACTTTTAATGGAAAAAAGATCATTTTGACATCAAATGCATGAGTCAAACCTTTAGGTCAGTTTGTATAAAATACTGGCATAAATTATGGATTATCTTTCAGTCTCATAAGAGTGGGATGTGGGTACTGGTCCATCGTATCCAATCCAAACAATCAACAAATGTCCTGATGTTGCTACCTCAACCTGCAGTACAGAACCTATAAACAATGGGAAATATGTAACATTGCTGCATTTTTTTATATTAAAAAAATCTATTACTTTACTGGCTTAACAAATAGTTTTGTCGTGAAGCTGAGTTTGATCAGAATAGTAAAGTGTGACCATTCTGTCAGTGTAGGATCACCAGGGTGTAAGAAATGGTCTGAATGTACTGCTCCTTATTAACATTTGTACTTCCAGTGTCTGACTGAGGAGATGGACCACTGTTTATTAACTAAAGCAATATTTCAGTACTGGTTCAAAAGTAATTTTTGTGTTTTTATAATGCATCCAATACGAATGTCTTCTTTAAACAGATAAAATTACAAACACAATTATACAACTCTCTGTAGATCCATAATAACTTAAGCCTAATTATATGTCTAAAGCCTAAATAATGAAAAAACCCGTTAAGATCTGCTGTTCGTAAAATGAGGAAAGTTCGGCTTTAATGAAATGTGGAGAACAGAGCACAGGAAATAATTCATTTCTCCAGTAGACTTTATGAAATACTGTACATCCTTTCATCTAGTCTGTTATTTTAACAGCAATTATGATCATGAAAAGAGGTGCAACAAAGTAGTTTACTTATGAATATTTCAACAAATAGAACTGTGCACACAAAAACTGTATACGCGCACAGACACAATGACAGTGTTTAACGGGTGACTATGCAAAAACACTGACACGCTAATGGGACCTCTTTAGCTGAGTTCAGCAGTGATGGCTCCAGACCTGACAAGATATTTCACTGCTGTAACAGCTGCAATGAACGCACAAATAGCTCTGTCTTCTCCCATTGTATCAAGTCACAACAGGAAAGCAAGCCTCTTTAAGACTTCAGTGCTTGAAGCACCCACAAAAAAGTGTTTTGCATGAGAAATTCTCAGTTTGTCATTTATAATTACAGTTTACTGAAGTGTCAAGGCGTTCATTTTGTTGTAAATAATTAGTGTTTGTTCTTAAACAGCATATGTTACAGACAATCTGTACACTTGTACAGCAAGGCAACAAGTACTTTCCCTCAAAGCACACTCAAAATATTCTTATTTAAGAGCATACAATATTGTCCATGAGTAAATATTTATGTCTGTGTTTATTTATGTTCTGTGCTGGGGATTAACCTCCAGCAGTTTAAGGGCACAATACATATTAAAAAGCATTATTCACAATTACCAAATGTGTATGCATAAAGCTTATGAAATTGAATATTAACCAATTCTATCACCTGAATTTTGAGCTCATTTGGGAGATACATAAAGGCCCGTGTAGCCGCTTCAGTTATGAATGCAGTGGTCAAACTGATCCAAGGAGTTAGGATAAGCGATGTTCGCTTTCTACTGCATGGATAACTTCCTGATTAATTTCTTTTGTCACCATCACTTCACAATTTTTTTTATCTTTTTTAACATACTTTTTTTTGTTTCTGGCTGCTCCCCTCATCAGGGGTCACCACAGTGAACAAACTTGTTAAAGACTTGGCAACTGTTTTTATGCTGGATGTCCTTCCTGACACAACCACAGACCACCGAGCTACCACAGCCCTCAGGGTGGAACAGAGAGCTGCTGTCTAGGTAGAGTTGCATTCGGGCTTAAAAAATCCTACCCAGCCCGACCCAAAACCAACCAATTAACTGTGATTACAGGCCTGAACTCAAAAAAACTCTGACATTTTTTTACAAGCTTTTACTGCTTCTGTAAGTAAATCAGTTTGGCGATTTAAAAACGTATTTCAAAGAAAGGAAGATATAAGATGACTTGTTTATTAACAAGAGTCAGTGGATTATTAAAGTTATTATAATATTATATTTATTAACAGTTGGCGGACACGTGCGGCTGATGATCCAAATTGGGTTGTTGGCCATGCACGTGCGCTGACGCAGTGGCTGAGTCCAGTTAAGCTTCAGGTGGGTCGCTGGTAGTGAGCCATCTGGACTTTTTTTTTTTTTTTTTACCTCTTTCAACCAGCCGGTCAGAGCTTGGTAAAACGGCCGCGCACAACTGGTGAAACAAATTGTATTGTCAGTCATGCGCATCCGCTGATGCAATCAAATGTCCGACACTGACCCGGCCCACCCATCCAGCACAAAATTCTGCGTGCGAACACAGGTTAGAAATGACAGCTCTACATCTAGGGCACCTGGGGGAGCAGATGATGTAGTTAGGGGCCTTGCTCAAGAGATTAGATTGGGGCAAAATAGGGTGGAAGTAGTTGTGGGTGTTTTGCCTTTATCACACACATTTTGATGTTACCAGTCCATGGTGGGGTTGAACCACCAGCCTTCCGATCACAGGCTCGCCTTCTCTAACCACCACTCCTCCCCCATTTTCAAATCTTTCTTTTTTTTTGCAGACAATTAAATTCTTGGACAGCATGGTGGTGCAGTTAGTAGAGCTGCTGCCTCTCAGAAAGCAGATTGCCCTGGTTCAAATCCCTGTCTGGGGGCTTTTCTGGGTGGAGTTTGCATGTTCTCACGGTGCATGCGTGTTTTTTTTTTCCGGGTACTCCAGTTTCCTTCCACAGACCAAAAACATGCACGTTAAGCTGATTGGTAACTACATTGTCCCTAGGTGTGAGTAAAAGTGAATGGTTGTTTGTCTCGTGTCTCTATGTGTCCCTGTGATGGACTTGTGATCTGTCCAGGGTGTCCCCCACCTCTCGCACAGTGATGGCTGGACATGGGCACCAGTGACCCCCACGACCCGAAAAGGATGAAGCGGGTAAAGATAATGGATGGATGGAATGAAATTCTCTAAAACAAGTGAACAATTTGAAAAGGTAATATGTTTATTTTAAACTTGCGAAATATACCGCAGAGGAATTTTCTGGAAAGGAAAAGAAAAGTGAAGCAGGAAGGAGGAACAGAGGATTTGAGAATTACAGTTTATATTTCCTGGGGATGCGTGGGAGATGGAAACGGTGGGATCAGCTAGGGTACTTCACAAAGTAATGGGATTTATGTGCAGCACTGCGGTTTACAACCAGGTAACAAATGTCTCTCTCTTCCTCACTCTGGCTTTCTCACTTCGTTTCTTATTTTCTCTCTGTCAGTTTGTTGGCTGTATACATTTAATATCAGGGTTTTGTTTTCTTTTATTGTTGTTCTATCTCAGTGCT